GCGTCTCGGGCCACCGATTCAGTTCAACAAAGAACTGTGAGGCTCTCAGCCTAAGCATTAATTGCTGTCAATATCGACTTCTCAAAGCCGTTGAAGCGACAGATATTCGTAAATAATTTAGTAGTGTTTAATAATTACTCGGGACAAACGAAAAAAAGGAGATATAACGCGTAGGCATTGAGACTGCTGATACCGGGTGTTTATTGTATAAATTGCGAAGGGAACACTTGAAGATGCTTGACAGCCTTATTTTAAATATTAAGACCCTCGACAGCCCAGCACACTATATCATCTGAAACACGGATATGAGATACGATCTCATTCAACGTATGGCCTGATTGGAACGACATGTGCCCTGGATGGACTGACGTTGTAAATATTAGGGACCACACATTGAAGTGTTTGGGGAGTCATGACTTTGCCGCAAAAAGAAAGCAGATGCGTGTTTGGCGCAAGCATGTAAATCTTAGATAAATTTGACGCAAAACATGAAATTATCCATTTAAAATTTGACGATGATGCAAAGTGCCTTAAGCTAATCTTGGAAGGCAAAAGCGGCAGTGATCCGCGTTTTCACGCGAGACGGGTATAAGCAATCGTTTTTCGTGAGCTCCAGAGTTTGGTTGATAGAACGCGAATATGTGTTGGTTGTTTCTGCCCCGGTGTTCAATCTTGGCTGACCGCTTTATTACACCTACAAACAAGGGACACCATACATTAGTTTGGCGGAATTCGTAGCGGCGACTGTGTCGCGGTCTCTCTAGTTTAATCTCGTGGCAACAATATAGATCGACTGAGTCCAGTGGCTTCCAAAGCAAGACCGTGTAGAGACTGGTGACTAGCCTCAATATTTGACGCGATATATAAACCTGATGAGTAAGCAAGACCGTGTGACTCTCTCAGATTGTGGTGCGGTAAAGTTCCACAGGTTGATGGCAGCTACATTTCTGTTTATAAAAGGAGATGAAACTATGCAGTCCTAATGGATGTTGTCTCATATCTTTCTTCAAGAAAGAATTCCTTGCTAAACAGAGCATCCTTTGTTGAAAAATCAGGAGCTGAACGCTTTGTCGCTTTAAAAGGAACCTGCATTGCACCGAGCGCAAGTTATTCTCGAGGGTCCAAGGGTTCTTTTGATATTTAGTTGAGGAATACCAAGTCATGAGACAAGATCCGATTCCCCGAATCGAGGAATGTGTGCTGATACTGGCCAAATACTATGTATTTAGAGAACAGTGAGAGAACATGTTCTGGTCAATCCTGGTTCTGTTTTCCTAATTTGCTGGAAAGAAAAATAAACTGCACGTGAGAGATGTGACACCACCCGTGCTTCAGCGAGTAATTCTTACACGACGCTCCAGGACTGGGCTTATCCTGCGCTGATTGGCCAGCGCTAAAGCGAGGTTTAATCGCCAAATTGTGTAACTATTCACGCGCGTTTTTCATATACACAGACCAGCTCTGACACAGTATTGTCCATAGCGAGACTGAGTACGGAGAATCGGGTGTGGGCATCTCATTAGATACTTGGAGTGGTGCTGGTGTGTATGCGCTTAGGCAAGCCGATTTTTACTATAGAAATGCGTCTTTGGGATAACAAGATTATATTTCTGGGATAGTTTATCAAAAAGTACGGTATGCGCGCCAAATTTGCAAAGATTAAGTTTAATGTAGATTGATTGGTGCTCCAACCCAAACAAGTATTAAAGACTAGGCCAGCTTGTTGCGGAAGTATACTGCTAAATGTGCTAACATGGTAAGGCCTCGCACTATTTTTTCAAAGAATATATCAGATGGTACTACTATGCACAGAGGATAAAATTTTCACGGCTCATGGAGAAAATATCATGCGCACATTGACTTTGGCCCTTTTGAAACTGCCTTGGTCAGTTCATGTCGTATGTGACGATATGACCTTCGTCATATCCTGCAATTTTTTTGGAGCAAATGGTGATGGGCGCGATTGTGTTACCGCGTTTCAGTTTTATCCGGCTTCATTCGGGGTGTGTGGAATATCGAGCTCACAACAAGCAGCGATTTGCTGTGCTATATAATCTATGTTAGCATGTAATAAATAATTGTATTAGACTTGGAATTTGTCGGCTATTTCTTAATCATCAAGAGTTGACAAATTGGGATAAACCCCATGATTACCCGCAGTTATTGTTAGATGTTGTATCGTTGAATTTGAACGGCTGCCATACCGACAATAAGAGTACGCAACACTTGGACAAAGTCCATCAACTCCTTCTTGCCCTGTTGGGCGGCAAGGAAACGCGATCAGACGCGATATGCCTGGTTAGGCGGCGAAAACACTAGTAAAAGCTGCAGCTTCAGCTTCGTATAATAGGAGAAGTATCTACCGACTTTGCAGGAACCGGGAGAATGGTCAAAACCGCCGTAGCTAACGGAAAGAGTGCTGACCTTTTGGCCCGTTTCGCACTTGCGTATATGAACGCTGAATCCTCTTCCTACGTAGTACTCACAACGCATGCAATTAAATCCATCAAGGCGTCTGCCTCGGGGAGAGTCACGCAACGAATAAAATCTAAATTGTATGTGTCCTTATCATGAATAACACCACATGTTGTGCGGCAAGCGGATCCATATTGTAATATTGCAGAGCATGACTTTTTTGATATATTAGCGCTCGAAAATACTTCATGTCATATCTAAGTTCAGCTTTATAAGACGTTATTCAATAGTGACACGAACGTAGCATTCGACTGATGGCTAAAGGAATATGAACACGATATAGCTATATTTTGGGATGCAGAAACGTCTGTTCATTGCTAAATTAGGGTACAAATTTTGGTTTTGTGCTTTTGTGCAAGAAATTTGACGACGATGTCGCTGTGCAAAGCTGCAAAGTCTGTTTGTTATCACTAAAGTCCTAAAGCCGAGCAGGTGTAGCCTAAGCCTAAAAAGAGCATACTACGTGGCAGCTATTACGGCATAGAGAGCTAGGGGCTTCCTCATTGCATTTGAGCTGGAGAGAGTTTGAGTAGTAATGCGATCATACCCGTTGGAATGGATCGAAGTTTCACTGACGATCTGAAACGATTGGTTTGAATCCGGTTTGGTTTCGGTTCACACATTAGCCTTTCAAAATAGCCTGTATAACAGCCATTTATGTCGAGCCCGAACGTGATTCAAGAAGATTAGTGAGGAGCTGCTCTCCGCCAAGGTAATTTGCATCAATCTTGTGCGAGAAACTGGCCAAGCCAAATCACTTTGGTAAGACGCCCGAGTATGACCCTTACAAACTATGCTGAAGTGGTTACGGCTTCAATTGTCACTAATGTACATAAATGCGTCTTTGGTGCCGACAAGATTCAACATCAGATATACTTTAAGGGAAGCATGATATCTGGGCAGTACTCTCAAAAATCAAGGCCATAAAGATTGGCTAGTGATACTCAGAAAAATGTTTCGCGGTATTTCTAGCTGGAACGTCTCCATACCTGAAAGGACTTAGCACGATGCTAGAACATCAGTAAGCCCATCTCTCAGAGTGATGAGGCGTCCTTTCGGATATGTGCCTAGTTTATGGCTCTTTATTGAGTCAAACATTTCTGAAGCTGATGTCGGTGTTGCTCACTTCCGTCGCTGGGACTACATGATGCCTACGCTGATACTCTTGTCTTTATTTGCGATTAAATTATCTTCGTGAGCGATTAAGTGAAGGCTCTACCAGCGAGTGAAGCTTCAAACATAGTGATTTCTGTTGTCAATCCGTTTGCTGGATTGAAGCGGGCATCAAAGGGGTCCTGGCAGATCGGGAATCAGACAATATGGACTCTTCGGCGCCTTCACCATCATCCTGCCTCATTTTCCGATCAAGATACGAACGGCTGGGCTGAGCGAGCTTCTCCGCCAGCATGAAGCGACTTTAGCAAGCCGGCTTATTATAGGTTTAGATTGGCCAAGTCGAACGGACCACGATACCTTCTTTCGGCTTACCATAGGAGCCGTGTTCGAGAATGCCGAAGCTAACTATTTCGACGATGAAGCGGTCCAAACCACGGCAAAACGCTGTGTCAGGACGCTTTTCGACTACTCGTGTCAGTTTGTAGGCGGTCAGGCTACCATTTTCCTAAACCATTCGATACAATTAAGACAGGTTTTCAACTCGCTACCGACTTCATCGTGGAAGAATCCAGCGCTTTAAACATGTAATACTCTGCGCTCCTTACTGAGCAGACAATGACCCATCCAGACGCCTATTTTGAGAGTACTCAGTCATAAGATGCAGGTTGATCCCTCTAACACCTAAATAGTGAGAATAGAGAAAAATGACACTATTGAGGTGGTCTGTTCATGACGAATAAAAAAACGCGGTTTTCTCATGGTACGAATCAACACCTTATCGGGAAACCCACCGCATCACTATTTGTTGCATAGAGTTTTTGTGATAATTTACATGCTCTACAAAGACTACTTCTTAATTTTTGGGTGGAGGGCAACTTTCACGTCCGCAGCCTCAGTCACTTCATTCACCATTATATATATATATGTTTGTTAACAACTAGCGTAGCTATAAAGCAATGTAAGTTGCGTGCGTCATTTGTTGCAGCTAACTCAGCTGAAGTGTCGCACTGTGACATGATTAAGTAATTTCTCCGCTATCTGGTTAGACCCTACTATTTGTGACTGCCTCCACATGATAATGCCTTAGAGACCGCTTCGATCTTTGTCAAAAGGAACAAACCTTGAAGAATACAGCGAACAACGTGCCAATACTTCGTGACGTAAACAGCCAACCGTGTGTTTTTATGCGCAACTCAAAGCCTTCCTTGTCTTCCGAGGTTTGCTTTTAGGCTCTCAGCAAAAGTATTGCATTTGTCTCGGACAGTTATATGCTCCCAACCGAGACTGTCGCTGCTATTTGTCCACACCACTAGTGCTTCTGACTTCCAGCAGAGACGGCTACATGATTTATCTGAGATCAGCTAGGAGAGGCGTGCATGGCACCAAATTTATCACCCTCAAGCGATCAATAGTAGGTAGCCTTTCAGCCAGCCCAGACAGATCAATCGCACCTCACAAAATCATTAGCGCTCCAACCTTTATGAGGTTAAAAGAATCATCAACGCTTTTACGATTATCAGCATTGCGAAACGCACGGACATAATATTGATACTTAGCCTACTTGCTGCATTCAATTTGTTCTTTCGTTTTTCTAGGATAATTCGTCGTACACTTCTGAATCTATCGGAGCTTTCCATGGCTTCACGAAGTCCGATAGGCTAACCTCAACCACTGATAAGCCCATCGGTCTCAGATAGTTTCGGTTTTGTCAGAGCCGGACCCCACACGCTTGATGATCGCAAGGTGTAGTGAACGTCATTTTTTCGATCGATGAAAATGACCAAGCTCGGCAATTACCCCGCGAGAGTCCTCTCGATCAGCTCCTCGTGAAAACTGGATGTTTCTTGCATTCGTTAGTGAAAGTTCGAAAGGGAAATGAGTTTTGTTAATTTTGCAGACTCAGCACCTTAGCTGCTGCTGAGTAGGGATCATTTTTCCTCCTCAAAATGGCTTGAAACCAATACCTATGGTGCGCTTACTGGCTTCTACTTCCAGTACCCGTTCGACCCTCGTAGCACAAAGTTGTGCTCTGCAAAAGTATTTGCTTTCTTGAATGAGGCAAGAGAGTCGCGACGGGCTCGGTGAAATCGCACCCGTCGTAGACCCTCCATGAAGTAATTGTCATCACCGCCCGGGAGAGGAAAGGACGCGCTTGCGGCGATGAGCATTTTTAACCCCTAGACATAGTATGCTAGCTAGCATCTTATTTCATCGGGTCCGCCTTACACCTTGCGAGCATTGGGACATATGTCGCTTCAAATTCTCCATTGTGGAGATGCCTCTTCCACAGAGTTATTGCAGAGTAGTGCCTATTCCTGCGTGCAGATTCATAGCTTGACGACGGCAAGCAAGACTTGCTGCTGATCCCATGGAGCATAGCTGAATTCATGGCCATTTCAACTTTCCTTGTCCATGATTTCTGCAATCTAGAGCTGAATGAACAACACCAGCAAAATCACGACGGGTGCCATCTGTGCTTCCACCGACGCTCGGATGGGGGGCACTTGAAGGTAGTTGGTCAACGCCCCTGGCGAGTAATTTCAGCATCTGGCCCTTTGGACTGCCAGTCCCCTGACCCCGTCGGGACCAACAATAGACATCAGCTTCCCAAGCGTGTCAATAACAACGATAACAAGAGCAATATGACTTGGTTTGAGGGATAATATCTCAAAGAATGTATATGAGTCTTTGCTTATTTATACAGACTGTTTCAGATGCCAATTGAAGCAGCGACGTTGGTATTCTATGAATAATTGCTGAGATAATACACATTCGATGTTAAATAGACATCAGCAAGCTCCATGATGTGAAGTGTGAGTTGAGCGACGATGCTAGTATGACACAAGCTCGATCCTTTACGTTCCATTTAAAGTGCATTCTATATTGAATAATGAATAAGTCATGGAGATACTGCAAGTGACAAGAATTATTTCCTGAGATATATCAGCCCGTTGAACTGCAACCCCTTTATCTCTACCGCAACAACACAGATTTCTGCTTCAATACCCAGCAAAAGATGGACACAAATTCGACTTTTATCACATTTTACTGTGAGACTTCGAATCAAGGCTTATCAAGTGTGAGGCACGTATCCACCAGGGAGCCTCAAATTTCAAATATTGAGGCAGTAAAAATTTATGCGTACCGCTGGTTTTGGATTTGGTCCCGGTTGTTTTGGTCCCAGTTGTTTTGGTCCAAGTTGTTCTGGTCTCAAGATTAAGAAATAATTATATTGCTGTATACCTTATAAATTGACAAGTAAAGTTTTGTCTTGTAAGTTGATCTAAAATTCATAAAATACAATTTTTTTCAAAGTGAGCAGCAACTGTAGAGGCAACGCTCAAACGTTCTTTACCTCCATATTCATGATAGACGTGTCGCAAATTACAGGCTCAAACAGCGCCCAGTAATCATGGGCTCAGGAAAAAATTGAGCAGTAGATACCATCAATGATATCTAAAACTAAATCTCATGTTCGTTTCAGCGTTCAATTTGTATGACTAGAAGGCAAGTAATGGATGCAGAAGCCGAGGTGATGGATATAGATGCCAAAAATAGAGAAGCCTAAAAAAACGGCCTTTGATTAAGGTGCAGAAAAGCAGCTTATAAAGTCCGGGTTTGATGGCTAATCCATTCGAAAATACACCGAATGATCTAAAAATTGTAAGAACCTGAGATCATTTTACTGAGAAAATTGATATCGTCCAACACGATACTTTAATCCTGTCTGTACGATCTACAAGTCGGTTAACAGATGCTTAGCCTGGTAGTTGTTGTTGTACCATTGTAGAACCTGAGGCTGAAAGTATTAATACATAGATGTTATTTTCCTCCTCGGTATTTGATTTGCTGAAAACAGACTGCCATGTCAAACATTATCCGTGTGTGGTCTATAGCAGAGGAGTGCAGTAATTTGCCTAACCTGAAAGGTAGTAAAAGCAGCTCCTTAAAGAACCAAACTCATGGCTACGTTAGACGAAGATTGGGAAGAGTGGACACCCGAAAAAGGTTCATTTGTTAATCACATGCTTGCTGGTTCGGCCGCTGGTGTGGCTGAGCACGTGTCCATCTTCCCCATCGACACTATTAAAGTGTGTGCGATATTATTTCTACATTTATGATTGCTGCACTCATTCTGTAATTGAAACTTTAGACGCATATGCAGTGTCAGCGATGCGCAGTGAATATCAATCCACACCAATTGACGGCCATACAGACGGCCCGCCAACTTACAGCAGCGGAAGGACCACTTCGTCTTTTTCGAGGCGTCAGTACCATGTTAGGAGCCAGTCTACCAGCCCACGCCGTGTACTTTTCCGTATTTGAGGCGGCGAAAAAATCGCTTGGAGCAGATACGAACATGCTGACACCTATGGCTTCCGGCTCAGCAGGTGTTATCGCTACTGTCTGTCATGATTTCATAATGACCCCCATGGATGTATGTCGTCATGTTTGTTACATCGACTTTGGCTTATGGGTTGTTTGGCAATCGTATGTATTACAATGTTATATTTACAGGTCGTGAAGCAGCGACTACAATTAGGATATTACAAAGGAGTAGCAGATTGTTTTAAGACGGTGGTGATTAATTCTGTGTCTTTGCCGCATTATTGTTGTGAAGGAAGAATTTACACGGTAAATGGTACTGATATGCCGCAGGTTATAAAGCAAGAAGGTTTGCGCGCACTGTATATCAGTTTTCCTACGACACTCTTGATGAATTTGCCATATAGGTGCTTCGAACGATATTTATACGACGTATGACAATTTTTGCTAACTTTTGATGTCTAATTTGTAAATTTGTAGTATGATCATGGTGTCGGCGAACGAAACTTTTAAGAAAGTGTTGAACCCGTCAGGAGAGATAAATATCTTGGCATATATTGCGTCTGGTGCCGCAGCTGGAGCATTGGTAAATTCGCGCAATATTTTTTTGCTGGGTAAAATGGAATACAGTCTCACATATTGAGCACTTCAATAGGCTGGCGCATTGACAAATCCACTAGATGTAGCCAAGACCCGATTGCAGACTCAATCTATGATGATGTTGGAAGAAGCTTTGGTAGGATCTTGTGCCTTTGATTTTGTTAAGCTTTCCGAAACCAAAGCTCAGGTTCATGTGCACTTCCGATTACTTACTTTTCTATTATCTTGTATGCTGTAAAAATATCCACAGTGTCCATCCCGAACTCATTGTACGCAGCTACAGACGCGTGGTGGAACTATAACAGTTCCGCCTTCATGCTCAATAAATAGCCATTCGGGGGTACGCTGTCGTCCATTGTACTAAAAAGATTAAAAAAATTCTCACTATTATACCTCTTATATAGGTGGAACGGGCAGAACCTGTTTTACGTCGGCAATATGGTGGACTCATTGACGCGCTTTTCAAAATTAAAGCACAGGAGGGTTACGCAGGATTTTTCCGGGGAGTTTACCCTCGTCTATTGGTACACGCGCCCTCTGTCGCTGTGTCATGGACAACATTTGAAGTTTTGAAAAAGAATTTGGATCGGATAAGCGTTGGAGACGACTAGTACATTTTTGTCCATGAGTTTATGCACACTATAGAGACTGCTGAGCGCTGGACATGCCCTTAGAGGGAAACAAATAGAGTTACAATAAAAAGCGATTACGAGTCTGTTCTTGCAACTGGATCGAGGTTTGAAACGTCAAAAACATTACCTTTTGGTACGTAAAAGAGCTTAATAATCCATCTGATGCTGGTGTAGTTTAATCTCTTCAGTGGCAATGAATCTGTTATTTATGGTGGAAATTTTTTTTGGTCAAGATAAGGAATTTCACTTGTCATCAACTGCGGCGGGAATGAAAGACCTGGCAAACCACTACAACGAACATAGTCTGCTTTTTGCGTTCGGTGTAACCTTACTCGAACGTGCATTAACAGATTTCTCTGTTGATACCTTTTCTGATTTTGTGTCGAGGTGATGACCAATCTGTAAAGCAGGGATTGGCGTTGCGACATATCAAAACATTAAAGATCAGGGATGGAAGTTTTCTTCGAATGCGTGACTCTACCAAATGCAATTCGATGACAACTCGTCAACGTTCGTTACTCGTACGCATTGGTGCAAGGAACCAGTGACGGTGACATGTAGAGTGAGGCAACAGCATAAAGAAACATAATGAAGAAAGAATGAATATTTCTTCAGCATTGATTGGTACAGTATCCTTTAGTCTTGTTATCGAATCTTCTGCTTGTTCAATTACAATCACAGCTAATTTCGACACTAAACCGATTTACAACAAAGAAAAGCTATTGGATGCCCCTAGCACCTGACTCGGTTTGCAAACGAGTGAATACTGTTTCTCAACAACGAAGGCTATATCACTCAAATCATTTCAGACTGACAAAGAAGCTACTTCACTGTCAAGGGCCTTACATTTTGACACGAAGACTAGGCATCAAAAGTGCTGCTTCGTTCTTGACTTGCTCTCATTATTGCGATGAAATAGAGCAGTGTTCTTTGATATCCATGGCTTACAGATACATCTTCTACTTTTGTAAGGATTTTATATGACATTTCTTACATTTGATCATCAGCCATAACTTTCTGCTCTTACTGCTTCAAGGTGATCAAATGATCATCCATATCCTGCTTTCTGGAACAGTCTTCGTCATAGTGATGCATTTCTCAACCTGTTACAAGAGGTAATTTGAAATAAATTAAAGAAAGATTGCAAAATTTGTCATCATATTCATCTACAAAAGCTGTGGCACCAGACTAGTCCGACCATCTAAAAATTTCGGCTTGACATTTGCGTCGTCTGATGTACCACCCACAGTAGCTCGACACAAAGGACAAGAACGTTCGTGGTCAAACCATTCAGTCACGCACTCTTCGCAAAAGATATGCGAGCACGCGAGCTTGACAGGTTGACGCATTCTTTCGTAGCAAATTGAACAATCTGGCGAACCAGATTCCACCACTTCATCGTGTGGCACATACACGCCAAATTCGAGTCCCAACTTCTTAAATGAGCGCGCTAGAATAATAATACGTCGGCCTTGGGCTGCTAGTATCAAGCCCTGTAAATCGAGCACTTTTTAGTAAAAGATATCACGGAGCCGATATTTTAAAGTTAGCATACCTTGATCACAAGGTAAGCAAACGTGAATACATCGGCCATGAATTTGGATGCACAGACTTGGTAGAGACTGCACCACGGGATACTAGCGAGTAGCGACCGGAGAAAGATAGAGCACATTTCAATAAGTCCGTACAATTTTCGCTACAGCCAACCCTCAAATAAATATCCACATCCTATGCACAGACCAATTGCACCAAGTGCGTACCTTTCTCCGGTAAAAAGCAGCAGTCGACACTTTGTCTTGTGCAAGCGGAGCGACCATCGTCGAGCGTTCGTCCTCGTCCTCGCCCACTGTGATGATTGATGCATGTTGCTCCACACTAGTTCGTTCTTCCTCTCTGTACTTTCGTTCACAAAGAACTCGATCCGACTTAGCACCAGCCACAAAGGCCTTCACAATAACGCTCCACAATCGAATTAGAAAATCTACACATTTAAAGTAGATAGTGATCAAAATGACGAATCCAGTCAAATAATCTTCACGTATAAAATACCATCGTTGAACACATACCGTTGACAAGTACTGTCCAAAGCACATGCCAAAAAATTTCTCCAGATGATTTTAATTCATTGCGACTGCTGCTACCTTCCGTAACATCAGAGTGAAGTATAGGCAGTGGATTGCGTTGGCCATCCACCGAGCAGAGCGCCACCATATTGATTGCACACATAACGACAATTCCAACAAGATGCCACGTGTTAGCCTTATCTTTAAGCGCAACTTGCGCTCGCAATCGTTGATCAAGTCCCATAACTGCAACTGTACCGACACCAAAGACTAAAATGCCTGTTGCGTGTTGATACGCAAAGTAGATGAAAAATAGTGCGATAAATGGAAGTGAATTGTGGCACCGTCGAAAAATCGCCTGCAGCTCGTCCATTGCCGTCTGTTCATCGTCGTCCTCGTCTGAATTTCGAGTCAAATTTCCTTCTTGAGCGATTGAAGTACCGTCACTTTCTCTTGAATTATCTGATGCAGTCATTTGACCCACTCCTTCTTCTGATGCCGATCTGGTGTTCGAAGATGTGTCCGAACTTATATTCAGTGTATAAGCATCTTGATCGAGTAGCGTCCTCTCTGTTTCATCTTCTTGCGCTGCATTGCCGTTAAAATCTGTTCTTCCGCCAGCAAAGCCTCGCCAAGGCGGTGTCTGGTTGTTAAGATCCTGTAAAAATTGACCAAATGCAAGTTGTGGTAGTGCCTGGAGCAATCGAGAGGTCACGGCGTCCCCACTGACGGGAGTGCTCAATGCTGTAGTCAAACGTGTTGGAGATTCTTCCGATGCACTGCTGTTGCGTTCCGTAAAGCCACGAACGAAGAGATCATAAGGCGTACGTCTGTCGGTCTCGGTGTCTGAGCGAGAGCGCTGCTCACGGCTATGGGGTCGTGCCAATGTGTCATTAATCGAGCTATCGGACACTAGCACGCCCATGGTGGATCGACTAGCAATCAGCTCAGATGGTGATTGAGCAAATCCAACCGACGTCGTGAGACCTGTCTGCGCTTCTTGCTGCGTACTCACAACTGGCACCTCAATGTGAAGAGGATGCGTGTCGGTATTGACACTCGAAGCACCGTTGATCCTTTGATCCATATCGAGGGTTATTTATACACACTGCAAACTTACTACTTAGCAAGCTTGAAACTGGAACTATTTTCTGCACAGTTTAATGATAGTTGTCAACTATTCTATTTGCGAAATTCATTTATACAATTGTCCTTCGGACATAGAGCGAGCTTCAGAGTATTTAGAACGGTAGAGCATTAAGCTGGTACTAAGTACGATATTAGAGATGAGTAATTCAAAGCATTTTATAAGAAATCGTGAAAACATATGTAAGAGCTATTTATTACTTAGAATCTGGGAATATCACTTTTTCTAATCGCGCCTTTTGAACTAAATGCGAATGAGTATAATTTTCATATTATGTATGCTTTATAGGCATTGCACATGAAGGCGCATGGTAAGCTTTTGGTGTTACTTGGTTCTGGATAGATGTCATAAATGGTGAACAAGGCTCGGAACTGTGATAATGCGCTAGTAAGACGCCATCAGGAAAGTCTCAATCAGACGTTGGTAGAAATACCATTAGCTTCTACAGATATAGCGCAAGACTGCTTCTGCAATGCATTAAAGTATTAAGTGGTATAGATGGAAAACTCTCCTCCTAGTTCACGAGACGTTTACATGGTTATGTACTCGGCCGTGCTCAAAACTGAGCAACCGTGAGCTGCGCTAACTGTCTCCTGGTATGGAGGTCTAAGTATCACTGCCAAGGCTTTCCGAATACACTCAACTTCTTTTGAAAGAGCGGTAGCAATAGCGGCAATGTGTGAACAGTTTTCGATCCCACGAGCAAATTATGATTCGGAAGGTGGAGTTCTATTCGAACGTCAGAGATGTTGAATTCAGCCAAACCAACTGCCAACAAGAATTTCCTTTTGACTGCTAGGCAGCAGCTAGGTGTTGAGTTTTCGAAACTACCAAGTATTTACGCCATGCGTCTCTCCTGTTCATGATTAAAAGGCAAAAAGGGTCAAGCCCCCATACACTACCAAACTGTTGAGCCATCGCTGCGAGATGTCTAGCCCTGTTGTGGCCGACCGAGAGAGAAATGAGTTCTATCATACCTTGTGGTGGTCGAGATCACTGTTAAGCGAAATGTATCAGCTTACTGTAATGAGTAAAGTACTGTAGTATTGTGTGGATATATGGTAGCGGACATCTTAACTCTACAACTGTCTCAATTGGGTTCTGCAGGTTTAGGAGGCCGCGCAAGTATTTTTTTATTTTTTTCGTGATTTTTTTCAATCAAGATCATCTAAAACAGATTGCGGTATAATTCGATGGCCTTTGTAACGACGTACTGCATATTCTATTTGACGCTGTGTTAAGTACTGTCCGTTTTAAGCACGATATGCATCCATGTAACGGAAGCATTTGCGGGCGAATTTACCGATCGAAAAAATCGGCACATTCTCTATTGCCGCAAGGCAGTAGATTCAGAAGCTTAGATCTCACGAAGCGTTTGCAGTATCCCCAATATAACTCGATGAATTTGAACTCACAGTGGAACTTGGGATAGAATATGATTGCCAAACCCGGTTGACTTTCCACTACAGTTTCCTCTAGCCATTCCTTTTGGCTTTCGAAATCAGGCTGTTTGGA